AGGGTAAACAGAAAAAATTTTGTATTCCCCATATAAACAAACTATTTTAATACCAAAGTAAAGCAAAAATGAAGATTGTTTTACAGAGTATTAAATAATTTTTTAAGCCCTGTACTGGTACAATTAGTGTTGTTATATTCATGTTTTTTCTTTGCCCTTTTCTTTTTTATATCTTTTTTTCTTTCATTTTTTGTATTTGGTTTTTGTTTAAATCTTGTAGTATTTTTCTTTTTTTTTACTATCCTTTTTTTTAGTTTAGTTTTTTTTAGTTACTTGTCATTCTTTAGGCAAAGATTATGGAATCCTCTTGCTTCAATATTTAAAAGAGGAGGGATTTAGAGAAATTAGCAGTCATAACAAGCTGTAGAACTATTTATAGATTTATTTATCTACTTCAATAGCAGGAGGGATAAGTAATGAGATAAACTCTACTATAGCAAGTCGAACATAGATACACATTTGATGCAACCGAGTTAGCTAACACTTGTAATTTAGATAGTTGGGCATGATATGTTCGATAAATATTGATAAACTCATATAGTTTGTTTATTATAGCCTAATAAAGTGGAGGCATGACTGCCGAAAATTAAAAAAAAAATAATAATAATAAATCAAAATAATTAAATCAAAATAAATTGGTATAAAAGCACAGTATATTAAAAGGTCCAAACTATGCAGGTCTTACAAGTGAAAGCACAGAAGACCCATATACATACTGAATTGTATTGTAGAAGAAGTAAAGAAAAAAAAGCAAGAGTTGTGGATCTTATTACAGGATATACAAAAGGCATTTGACTCCATAAGCATGATATCGCTAGAGTTAACTCTTAAAAGAATTAAGATGCCAACAAATATACAGAATTATATTATTAGCCTGTATAAATATAGAGAATTAGAAGTGATAACGGTGTATGGAAGCACTAAAGTAATTAAGGCAAAAGATGGGATAAACCAGGGAGAGGTGCTGTTCCCCTTAATATAGCGTATTTTTTATGATCTGCTTTTGTGTGAGGTGCAAAGAATTAAAGACTGGAGTTATAAAGTAGTGGTGCCATGGCCTACAGACTTAAGAAAAGAAGAGATCACATGGATAAAACAGAGACAAGCTGTTGTAGCATATACTGATAACACAATGCGGATCGCAAAGTTCAAGGCAGAGTTGTTAGAAATCTTAAAGAAGGCTAATGAATTCTACAAATTAAATGATATTAAGATAAACGAAAAGAAATCAGAACTTATCATAATCAATGGGGCTATAAGTCAAGAAAACAAAGACTGCAGTATTACTAGCGAAAGTGAAGTAGAGATAAAGGTAAAAAGAAATAATGAAGCAGGCAGATTTCTAGGTGTGTAGATTTTAGAGAGAAATAAGAAAAATTGCAGAACAGGTTTAGTAGAAAGAGAGGTTGCTGGGTTAGTAAGAATCCTAAGAAAGAAGAAAATATCTTTAGAGCACCTGCAATACATAAACAATAGAGTTCTGCTACCAAGATTAGAATATTGATTAAAATGTCAAGTGATAAGCAAGCAAGCCTGTGACAGAATCCATAGACCCTTTCTCAATTTACTTAAGTGAAAAGCAGGCTTAGCAAGTACTACAGCAAACAGCATCATTTTGCATCCGAATTTGATAGAGGCTAAAGGCTTGTGGCAAGCAAAGGTAGCACAACAAGTCTCTAGCTTAGTTAAGAGATTAAATAGTATAGAGTCAGTAGGAAATATAATCTGGATTAGACTGAGGCAGGCACAGGTTGATAACAGAAGTAGCAGGTGCATAATTAAGTGGTCTGCTTAATGGCTAAATGAGGCAAAAATAAAGTACAATTTTAATGCAAATATAGTTAAAGAAGCTACAAAATTAGGCATAAAACTAGAATACAATAAAGTAGCAAGGAGCTTGCATCTAGGTGAAGAAACAGAGATTTGGTCAGTGCTAAACAATATTAAAAGAAAATAGTATATAAAAAGCAAATTGATCAATATTATATTCATAGAACAATTGATCAAAGAAAAGAGATTGACGCTTTTAACTTGGTGCCAATTAAAATTTTTAAGAATAAACATGGGCAAAGGAAAGAAGCCCTCATGGTTTAATAGCATCGAGAGTATAGTGATCAATAACCAGACAACATGAGAGGTATACACAAGATTCAGATATGAAAAAGAAAATCAAGTAGCTTTATTGCCCTTATTCCAACATATATCTGAAGATAAAAAAAAAGCAGAATGAGTTGTACTGGCAAATGAAAATGGTACAACAGATTTGGGCTGAGTAGTTAAAAAAAGAAGCAAATGAAAAATAGAAGTAGCACATTGGAAAAGAGAGAAAGAAAATGTAAATTTCAATGACAAATGCCAAGGGTGTAGTTTATCTAATATGCAGAAGCCCTAGGAATGTAAGATAGGTTTGAATTTAAAGAACAAGCAAAGAGTGTTAAAGAAAAACTGCATTAAAAAGCAAGGAGAAAACAAAATCCTGTGCAAGGTGCCGCTAACAAATTTTAGCAAAAGAACCTATTTACAAACAGATACACCTATTCTAGTGACAAGCCCTATAGTAATAATCAAAAACTTAAAAGAAGATTTAATCGACAAATATATAGTAGAGCAGGTGTATAAAGAGAAAACCTAGAGGTCACTGCAAAAACTGGTTGGCTATGCGGAATTAGACATATTTACTGATGGCTTATTAGATGGGGACAGTAAAAACAGAAAGCCAAGAAAAATGGGTATAGGCTTGGTTGCAATTAAAAAAGATACAGAAATAGTATTAGAACATTTCTCAGGGGCAATAAAAGATTGGCCTTCTTCAACGAGAGCAGAAATAGGCACAATAGGGCTCGCATTATTAGCAGTACCGAACAAATGTAAGGTACAGATCTTCACAAATAGTGCGAATGCAATCAGCATTATTGAAAAGGTTAGAGCTAGCCCAAATGACACCAAAATCACTAAGCTCAAGAACGAGAGTATTGTCACAATGGTGATGAATTTAGTGGATATAAAATATATTAATATAAGTTTCGTAAAGGTAAAAGGTCATAGTGGGGTTAAATTAAATGAAGCAGCTAATAAACTAGCGAAAGAAGAAAACAGCAGTAAAGAGTGTTGTAGCTTTAAGATAGAATAGTTAAAAATAGTGAAAGTATTACCAAGGTGGGAGGGTCATATTATTGATATACCGATTAGAGAAATGTATTATAGTATAGGTTGGATAAATAGCAAATGTATAGATAGTTTGATTAGAAGTAGTACAGAAGAGAAATAGTTGGATTGGAGGAAAATTTGGAGAATGCAAAGAAAAGAGGTGGGATATAGATGCAGAAGCTTAAAGAATAGTCACAGTTGGGTCTTTAAGATAAAGTGTATAAATGGGTTGCTGCCAATGATGAAGATGCTTCACAGAAGAAATTCAGTCCTATATCTGTTTGATTTTTGCGTCGCATGCTTCTGGGAAAAAGAAGATCTAGACCACTTAGCTACATGCAAAATATATGAGAAATTGTGAAACAGAATAAAGAGAGAAGCATTCGAGGACACTATAAAAAAAAAGTTAAAGGATGAACAGAAAAAAAGCAAAGGAAAGATATGTAGCATTTCAAAAGAAGAAATAATTGGAGATTCTTGAGAGGCTATATACAAAAACAGAGTTAACTGTATTAGAGGAATCTTCTGGGGGCTTAAAAATGAGAACAGACTACTAAGGGAGCTCCGAAAGATCTATAGCCACAAGCTACGAAAACACTTTCAAGAGGTAATCTGGCGACTAAAATGTGAAGCTATTAATGAATTCGAGCAGGGCAAAGGTATTACAAATTCCCAAAAAAGAAAGCAAGATGAGAGAAGTAATTCAACATACAAAGAAACCAAGAAAAGGAAAACCTAAGAGGCAAGAGGTGAGAGAAGTATAGCAAAAGAAGCAGATCAAAAGTTGTAGAAGGAGACAAAGAAAGAAGTTAGGAAGGTAATTGCAACTAACATCAAACTGAAGTGGTCGGGGCTTTATAGACCACATGGTTCCAAAACGTAAACGCAGTCCTGACAAGGCTAGCAACTACCATTCAAGGATCTAATGGGTAATCTTTCAGCAAGTTGAAAGCCAGAAGAGAGAAAAAGAGTTGCTGCGGCAGATTGTATCTGGGCATCTATGAGTAGCCGGGTGAGCTTTTATTGAAGAGAAGAAAGGGTTGTTGGCATTAGCTAGGAACTTATGTATTTAGATTATGCATTCCTTATACAATAAAGGCAGGATTGCTAAAAAATATATATATAATCTAAGTGTAGTTTATAAGTTACAATTAGGAAACAAATGCTGTAAACGGTTATATAAAGACTCGGGTCTGTTACATTCTACTAATTTTAAAATCTATAGTAGATGTGCTCGGAACTAGTACACAGCTAAAAATTTCTACCAATGAAAGTAAAATTTGAAACGCATATATATATTGCAATTTAAAGTTTATATTACGCTTTTTAATCACATTTAAAATATAAGCTATATGCTAATTTTATAATTATTAATTATAATGTATATTTAGAACTAATTGGATAAATATAAAAAATATAATTTAGCGAAAAGTTAAGTTTCGCCAAAATTGATAAGCATGTTTATAATTAAATTCATTATAAGGGGGCCATTTAAAGAAATCATAAGAATATCATTCAGAGTATCTGAATTCATTCTATTTCGAAGTTTAGTTTTAACAAGTTTTTGTTTAGAAAAAACACATTCAACATAAGCATTAGAGAGGGGTAAGCAAAGAATGATAAAAATGATAATATAAATATTAGGATAAATTAAACTAAAATCTTGATTATCCCGTAATATATTATGCCATGCAGAAGTAATATGTAAATTGTAATAATTGGAAAGAAGTGATCGAATAATTCGCCATTCTTGTGCAAGACTATCTGCATTAATAATTTTTTGATATTAATGTACTAATTTTTATATATAATAATAATGATAAGTAAATATTTACTTATTATAAATTTTTATATTAATAAAAATTTTTACTACCTGTAGTTTTCTTAGAAGTTCTATAAAACTTTCCAATTTCAGCAATTTCATAATTTCCATAAACTGAAATTAAATAACGATCAGTAGGTAATTGTTTTGGATCAAAAATTTTAAATAAATTTATAATTGCATGATCTGAAAAGCGAAGCTTAATATTTGCTACAGTATTTATAGCAAATTCACGTATAAATAAAGGAAGATTATTAGGAGAAATGTTTTCTTGATGCATAAACTATAATAGTATAGTTCCATAAGTAGGCTGTAAATTTTCTTCACCAATAAAATCAGTTGTAATAGATTTAATAACTGCATTTACTTGCATAGTAATCTTTGAAACTGAAACATAATCAGCTTAAAAAATTAAAGAAAGACAGTGAAGCTGTGAAAGAATATTAGCTAAAAAATGTGTTGCAATTAAAAAGTCTTGATCAATACTAATATAAAGTTTGTTGTGCAGTCTTTTGACCTTTAGATGTATCTTCTAATAGTGCATCAATTACAGAATTAATAATCTGGTAAAGATTATTAACTACATTATTTAATGAAAGCCATCGGGTTTTAATAACCTGTAAAATATTTAAATTAGGCTTATTTAAACTATTTTGAACCATTCGCAAAGTTTGTAATCGTGAGTATGATCTGTTAAAATAACTATAAAGTTGTTGAACAGTTTTATCATAAAATTCAAAATAAGAAGTTTGCTCTGCAGCATCTTTAGAAGCAAGTGCTAAACGATGACATATACAGTGATGTTTAGTAAAAAATGGAAAACGAGCTTTTAATCGTATTACTATTCCATTTGTATGTCCTAAAATAATATATAAAGTTAATTTTTAATTTTATAATGCAAAATTCAAAATAAATATTTGGGGGTGAGTCAGTAGAAATTAAGCAAATTTTTTATAATAAAATTTTTTTTATAACTTTAAACAAGAATAACTTAATGAAATCTTGACCAAATTTAATAAAAATTTTTTTAAATAATTTTTACTAACTTGTAGAATTAATTTAAAAAAAAATTTATTAAATTTGATGAAGTTTTTGTTAAATTATCCTTGCTTAAAGTTTTAAAAAAACTTATTAAAAAAAATTTGCTTGATTTCTACTGACTCAACCCCATTTACCTAAATTTACACTTGCTCCATCGCTTCCAAAATAATAAAGTGTATCTGTTGGTAAGTGTTTAGCAAGAATAAATCGATCTAATTCATTAATAATTGCATTTGATGAAGCATTTTGAAGTTTGATAATTCCTAAGTAACGAAAAACTGGCAAATTATATGCTATATGTCTTGAAACAATAGCAAGATTTTTTTCATTAGAAATTGTATTGCTTTCATCAATCATAAGACTCTATGCTTTAGATACTCGCAATTCATCAAGTGTAGCCTCTTCAACAATACGTGCAATTGCTGTAATAAATTGTTTTCCAGCATGATCATTAATATATAATCCATATTCACTACGTATAGAACTTGTAGTTGTTGATATAGGTAAGCTTAAAAGATTTGTGCCACCTGGAATAATATTATCTTTATTATTTTGAATTTGCAACTCAATAAGGTTACAAAATCTTCAAAATTAAGCATAGCAATGTTGTGCTTTACAAGAAAATAAATATTCATCATTTTTCTCATTATTTGTAACTAATCAAACTCTGCATATTGATATATACTTGATATTATATTAACTTGATTTTTACTATGTGCAGATTAGAGATGTACCAAATGCATTATGCATTTAATGTTGCATTCTACATAATGCAGCATAATGCGATGCAGACTACCTAAAATTTCAAAATGCACATAGAGATTATTATATAATTTTAATTCAACTATAATAATAAACTATTATCTTGTTCATATATGTTATAGTGCATATTTGTATTACTGTTTGTTTTGTTTATCTTCGTCACTACCAATCTAATTTTTTTTTGGTGTTTTTGCGGCTCTATGGCAGTCTTACTGCATTGTATTAGTCCTACAACATTCTTACAGTAGTTCATGTCATGGTGCTCTTATAGTGGTTGTTCTATAGCCTTGCGGTAGTTTTACTGCATTATGGTAGTTGTTCAAATCCCATTTCAATAACAATATTCAATATTAAATATTCCATCAACGTTGCTACTGCACTGCACTATACTGATTTTTATTAGTAAAATGAATATCTTATGTTCATCCTTTTCAACTTCAATTCAATTGAGATAATAAATCTAACCTTATATATTCTAGTAAGTATTCTATCTCTGCTGATAACAATGCCCAACATTATTTATTCTATTAGCACCTACCCATCTCTTCTGATTTTTTAAAAATAAGTAAATGCTTATGTTTTTTCCAATTTCAGTAGCATGCCCAACGCATCTAGTCTCACCACCAAAATCATGTATGTAATCGGTTGTTAAATTTCAATCCAAGCATAATAATAACAAAATCACGATATTTACAAATTTATTATTATTATTATTATTAAAATTATTTATTAGAATTTACTTAATTACCACTGCAAATTCTAAGTCGAATTATTTAAATCAATTTTTTTTTTAAAAACACATATAAACTTTAAATACTACCAGTAAAATGTGTTTTTATTAGAATCGCTCCAAGTTTTTGGAAGCATTTTTGCTTGTTCAAAATCTTTAATGTCATCCACCATTTTTTGAATAGGTTTAAAGTTCAATTCAATGCTTCGAAGCCATTTTTTTTGTTTGGAAAGATTATTAGATTTTTTAAGATAATCAAGTGTCTAAAACATATATAAATATGAAAATACAGCGATAATAAGAAAAAATCTTTATACCTCATGATGAGTTTTTTTTTACTTTCTTAAAATTTCAGATTCGGATTCACTATCTCAGTACTCATTCCTCATTATATATGTTTTCATTTTCAGATTCACAAGGTCAATCATTAAATTATCTTGTGCATAATTAATTAAAGTTGGTTGAATATTTTCCTATAAAGTTTCCTGAAATAGAAGGATATTGAGAATTTCATTGCACCTAAATTAAGATAAGATTAAATTTGAAAGAATTTTTTTTTAAAAAATAATATAATAACAGACTTTTTGAAAAAAATAATGCATCCATTTTCTCAAGAGGATTAACTAGGTGTTTACATAATAAAAATCTTTTTTTTTCATCATTCTTTAAAGTTCACTGTAATAGTTATACAAATAGGTAAATAAAGTATTCTTGATTTGTTTTTATTGTATTTTTTATGGTATAAACATCCCCTTTTTCACAGTTCTTTAGTGTCAATGAACTTGCAAAACTTCTTCAGTATTATTTACTTCTTATTCATTAATTATTCGAGAAATATTGCTTTCTTCTTTAACATCGATAAGCTTTCATAAATTATAAACTATATGTTTATTCTCTTCAGATTTTATAGCACTTTGCTTGCAAATATCACTTAAAATTTGATCTTCATGTTTTCTTTTTCAGCTTCATTTATACAGTTTGAATACTCAAAACATGTTTTTTGATTACTTTGAAATGCAATAATGGGTTTTATAGTTCAACAAGATGAACAAAGTTTTGAATTTTCCATTTTACGATATTCAAAAAAAAAAGCTTCAATATAAATAGTATATTATTATTATAATTAATCAAATGTTAATTATTAAATATAACATGGAAAATAAATTTAAAACCCAATTACGTACACGATTTTGGTGGCGATATTAGGTCGGTCTAGCATGTTATGAGTGCCTTTATATTCATCCTATTCAACTCAAATTCCATTAAGCTAATAAATTCCAACACTATTTGTTTTATTGGCGTTAACTCATCTTTGCTGATTTTTGTTAATAAATGTTTTTATGTTTGTTTTTTTTAACTCCAATTCCATTAAGGTAACAAATTCAGCATTATATATTCCAATAGGCATCCTATCTTTGCTGAATATCTTATATTCATTCTTTTCAACTGCAACTATATTTTGATAACAATATCCAACATTAGCTGTTCCATCAATGCCACTATATTTGCTGATTTTTGGTAATAAATGAATGCCTTTATGTTCATCATTTTTAAATCCAATTCTAACAAGATAATAAATCTAATGTTATATGTTCTGATAGGTGTTGAATGTCTTATGTTCATTCTTTTCAGCTCCAATTTCATTCAGATATTATATTTTAACCCAATTTGCTAATTTTAAATAATATGTTTATTGATGGGAAAAAATGTGCAATTTAGATTAACATGCATATAAATACGCACAATTGAGAAATAAATATGATGCTTTTATTATTTAGTAGAGGGCTTGTCAATGAAGTGATATAGCAATCATTATTGTGTGATCAGACGACTTTATGATCATTTTGTAGATTTAACCTTTATAAATTTTTGATTAGTCTTTATGATAACTAATTAGATGCTTTTTTTTTTTATTATTATAATTATTGTATCTAATTGTTAAAACAACTATAATTAGAGATGTAACCAGCTCATTCGGCTCTATTCATTAATCGGTTTTTATAATAGTTAAATATACAAACTGGATCAAGTAATAACATCCCTAGTTATGATAATTAGAGAACGGTAAGTAAAACAATAGATAATTATATAGATTCCTATATATAATTAATGTGTAAGACTTAAATGTTATTGAAGATAATATTAAATTATGAAAACATAAATTTATAATAATTACTAAAATGTAAGGGCATCTTGGCTTTCTACATTTATATTTATAAAGGGCTATATAATTTATACTTAGATTAGTTTTAATAAAAAGCCTAATAAGCAACTTAATAAAAAGGGATTAATCAGTTAAGTAAATTAACACAAATAAGAAATTAATAATAAAAAGTTTATTTTACATATTTCAAAGTTTAGATTAAAAAATAATCATTGTATATTGGCTGGATTGACTTGAATTAAAGGCGCAGATAATAAATTAATAAGAGGTGCATGTGTTGCTTTCAGATATTTAATTATACAATTATTGTTAATTATCGTTATAATTGCCAGTTAAATTAATATAAATAAAAAGCTTAATAAAAAGAGATCCATATTATTTTACTGATAATCACTTCATAGACATTACATTTCATGACAATTATTCATCAACAAACTTATTTTATCAACAGTCTACTTTACTGAAGCTTTTTCACTAACACAACTTTTGAAATAAGCTTCAGTGAAATAGGCTGTCAGTAAAATGAGCTTGTTAGTGGTGAAATGTGGCATCTATGAGTTGATTGTCAGTGATCTCAATAAAAATGTGGCCTATCAGGAAGTTAATAAGAAACATGAATTATAATATGTTATAAGCTATTAATTTTCTAAAAATTTACAGAGCAGTAAAACCATTCTTACTGCTAGACAGCATTAAATATAAATAGAAAGCCTTAATAGATTTTCATTAATTTTTTTAGCGGGAGCACCAGAATTTGTCAATAGTTTTAGTAATAATAGATTATTTTTAGTAATTTTTACAAACAGATTCTTTTATACTATTAATTTTAATCTTATTTTTACTTTAAAAATATAATTTTAATCGTTTATATCATTATTTATAATTTGCATTTTTAGATTTGCATGTTAATATTTTTTGGCTATTTTTTATATATTATGCAGAATAGCATAATGCATCATGCAACATAATGCCGCATTATGCAATGCAAGACCAAAAAAACATGCATTCGCATATCTCTAGTGCAGATACAACTTTTTATGATCAGATCGCTCCATATGTCTTTGAAGATATTGCTTTTTAAAATATTGAGTACCTGTTACAAAAATATTATTATATTTGGTGTCAATGTACCATGTACAAACCATATATTTGCTATTTTCTTGTATTACTAAATCGACCCATGGGTAAGTTTTTTTCCAATTTGGATTCCATTTTAAATTTTCTTTGGCAAAGCAATTATATTTAGGATTTTTTAATTCAATATTATTTGTATCTTGTTCATTATAAGAACATTCACTAACAGTAGTATTACTTTCATAATTATCAAGTTCAAAATTGGCACTAAACAAATCATCTTTGTTATGTAACAGATTTGACTTTTTAGAGGTTTGTGTTATAGAAATAAATGAGGTAATTTTACTTTGTTTTTGTTTATCATTATTGTTTTTAGACATTTTTTTAATAAACAATATGTAAAATTGAAAAATAATTAATTAATAAGCAAATAACTTAGCATAACAACTTAAATAATAAAGCAATTAATCAAACAAATAGAATTTTTTAAGAATAAAAGAATTTAGAAGTTATATTTATTATACTTTACATAGACTTTGATACGCCCTACAATTTTGGCATAAATTCTATTAATTTACTTTAAGTTAGAATAAGTTTTTTTATTGTCGATTTCTTTTTTACTTTAATTTATTAATATTCATACACTATTGTACTAATTTTAGCAATAGCCTGCTAGATTTGTTACTATACGAACATATCTTTAACAGGTTTTTGTCTTTATTAAAGTACATGATGATCATTTATAAAAATGTACTAATTGTTTATAATTGTCTTTTAGAATTCACCAACCAAATGTGGATTTTTTGACACAAAAGTCCTGTAATGACTGAAATCAGTCTATGTGACTCTTCTTATTATATAATGATTATGTCATGAAAAAAAATTCTAATACAGTTGAATAATGCTAATATATTTCAATATATAGTATGATATTTGTTTAACCATAACGAACATTGAACTTGTATTTTTATTGCTTTAATAGGTTTTTGTCTTAATTGAAGTTAATGATGATCAATGCTTTTTTTTTATTATTGTCCTTCAGAATAGAACTAACTAAATATGGATTTAACTGTCCACTGTCTTCAGAGCCATTAACAACTTATTCTGAAGCCAGTTTTAGCTACACAATGGAGCAAAGCCAATGAGCTGCTATTGGATTTATATTGGAAATGAATTTGGTAGATTAATTTTTTATAAGATTTGACAGGTATTGATTTTGACATGATCAGTTTTGAGAGGGTCGACTATAGTATTATATAGCTACTTATGAGAACACTATTTTTATTTTACTGTTCTCAAAAAATTTTTAATAGTGTCACGGGTTAATCAATGACTTTTGTCAAAGAAAAACCTAACCCAGATGGTAGGCACTATTAATTAGGCACCAAACGAACAAAACTCAACAGGCAAGTGTTTACTTTATATTTCAAATGAACTTTATTTATTAAAGGTTTAATTTATTACAAGTGAAACTATCTAAACTCCACTTTATTCTTATTATCACTTCGCTACTTATACTCTTAATTGACTTTGATCATTACATCATATATTGTGGCAGATCATAATGAAATCAGATTAAAATGAAATAGGGCCTTTTTTTGGTGTAACTTGTTTAGATTATAAAATATATGTTTGTGTAATCTTGTATTACTCGTTACATGCGCCGCAGTCACGTGATCTTTATTTTGCAATTTTTTGTATCACCTTTGGTTTTACAACCTCATGCATCACGTGACTTCCGCTTCAATATAAACCAATCAAATTATTAAATTTTGTAGATTTAAATTTTAAAACCTTTTATTAAAGATATCTTTGCGAGTTCTTAACCAAATTTAATAAATTTTTTTTTATTTGAATTCTACAGATCCGTAGAATTAAATAAAAAAAAATTTATTAAATTTGGTCAAGAACTCACAGAGATATCTTTGATTAAAATTTTTTTACTTAAAAATATATATTGCAAAGAAGCTGTGCCAATACAAGAACTTTTATCGAAGATATCTTTGCGAGTTCTTGATTAAATTTAATGAAAATTTTTTTATTTTAATTATACAGATCTGTAAAATTTAAATAAAAAATTTTCATTAAATTTAGTCAAGAACTCGCAGAGATATTTTCGATGAAAGTTTTTCTTTTCTAAAATCATATATAACAAAAAAGCTGTGTTAAAATTGTTAAAAAAAAATTTTATTGAAGATATCTCTACGAATTCTTGACCAAATTTAATAAAAATTTTTTTATTTTAATTCTACAAATCCGTAGAATTCAAATAAAAAAAAATTTATTGAATTTGATCAAGAACTCGCAGAGATATCTTTAATGAAAGTTTTTTTTTATTTTTAAAAACGTATATCACAAAGAAGCTATATCAAAATTGTTTACAAGAACTTTCATCGAAGATATCTCTGCGAGTTCTTGACCAAAGTCAATGAAAATTTTTTTATTTTAATTATACAGATCTGTAGAATTTAAATAAAAAAAATTTCATTAAATTTAGTCAACAACTTGCAGAGATATCTTTGATGAAAGTTTTTCTTTTCTAAAATCGTATATAACAAAAAAGCTATGCAAAATTTTTACAAAAAATTCTATTGAAGATATCTCTACGAATTCTTGACCAAATTCAATAAAATTTTTTTTATTTTAATTCTACAAATCCGTAGAATTCAAATAAAAAAAAATTATTGAATTTGATCAAGAACTCGCAGAGATATCTTTAATGAAAGTTTTTTTTTATTTTTAAAAACGTATATCACAA